ACGTATCTACATGAGCCGATGTTTCCATTTATGAACGTTATATTTTAAGATCTGTGCAAGAACTTAGCTAACAGATGTTTCTGTATACCAAAGCTATCTTCAAGTTTTGTACAACGAAAAATATATATAGAAAAGATAACTTACCCAGTCACAGCCACAGCAAAGTCTGAAGGATCGCAACAAGTGGAAGGCACTACCACAATGAGGAAGAAAGAGCTACCCAATAAAGATAGTGGAAGATGAATGTATGAGGAGTAGATCACATGTCTCACTGAAGAGTTTCCTCAAATGGACGACAGAGGTGAGACTCCAGGAAAAAGGGAAAGTGCCTGATCTTAAGTAAAGACATATTGAACACAATCCGGGGAGAAACAGACATGGAGGAATAGGCCAATTGAATTAGTTGATGATCTCAAATCATAAGGGTAGAAGAAGAAAGATCACACACACATAGATGAACAGTGCCTGGAAATTAAAAGGTGAAATGGGAACCACTAAAGGAGCCATGCAGGCAATGGAACAGTGACAGTCACATACTGGACACAGAAGTCTATCTGGAGCAGACCAGGAATAAATGTAGGAAGGAGATGGAAAAGAAAATGGGATGAAGTAAGAATGACTCTCACAAGCCACCGAAGTTTTAAGTAGGAAAAAATCTATCCAGAAGAAATGTAAATGGAACTCGCTGGTCCAGTTCTGACTGAGAAACTTCACTGCCAGGGTCTGAGGATGATAAACCAGAGAGCAAAAAAGAGGTAACTTGGTGTTGGAGTAAAGTAGCAAAAGCATCCAGATGAGGAATGCCTCATTGATTTCATAGCCACATGAAAACTTGAGGGTCGAGAAACAACTCTGTGAGATAAACCTGGTTGGGTCTTGAAAAACAATCTGCCACAAGGTGAAAAGCACCCAGAACCTGGCACACAAGGAGATTTAGCTGCAGCATATGGGCTCAATAAAGGAGGTCTAATGTTTGACCACAAATGGAACAGTAATGGGTGCTCCCAAAGTGATTGAAATAGGCCACATTAGTGAAATTGTTTAGATGGAACATGATGTTTTGGTACTGTACCAGCAAAATAAAATTTTGAAATCCTAGTTGTAAGAACTGTTAAAGGACAGGAGGATGCAGAACAAGAAACAGTTCTGGTAGAGTTCATGGTATCAGAATGAGAAAAACGAGCAACCAAAGACGAAAGAGTCGAATGTGTACTCACAGAGTCTACACTTAATACACTTGATTTCAATGTCTCTGGAAAATCTCCAAAAACAAACCAGTGGTGAAAAGAAGCCATCTGGAAGTCACAAAGATAAGGGGAAGGTAGATGAACCTGTGAGAAGACAGTATGCTTCCCAATATGATCCTAACAGCAACATAACCATGTGCGAAGAGACAGGGCCAAAGAAGATAACAGTGCCAAGGAAGAGGAAGAAGGGAAAGTATATCTCCTGAGGCATGCTAACACCAATCTTCAACTGAGAAATGAAATGCTCAGCATGAACTATGATGTCAGGGGAAGGAGGGAAAACAAGGGACTAATGATGAGTGTCATGTAAAAAATGGAAGGAACAGTATTATATGAAACCAGTAAAAACAAGAAAACAAAACACACCTGAGAAAGCATATCCAAAAACGTAGAGTTAGGCATAGTAGATTTCGTTGGAGATGCATGGGAAGGCACAGCCTAGTTAGGAGGAGAAAAAAAACTGTCAAAATCCTCCTCATCATGAAAGGGTTTGGACAATGCAGGTGAAACCCAAACAATGTCGGAAGAAAAAGGACACCTCATATAACGATTCCAACAAATGATAGGCAAGTT